CCCAGCCTATGCACACAGCCAGGGGCTCGGATGGGATGATGGTAATTGCAAAAAAGTGTTTTGCAGATTTTTGGTGGCAGGCGAGGGCTGGGTGTGATTCCCTGTCAGAGAGCAGTGCTCCCATGCTCGCTGTCCCTCTGCCTGTCAGGGACTAGGGGCTTGGCCTGGGGCTGTACGACAATGAGCGCCGGGGATGGAGGGGAGTCCTCATGGCCAGCGGGAGTTGCTCTGTCTCAATTAATTAGAGTTTGGTGCTCAGAATAATTAGGAAGGAGACTAAGCGCCGGGGCTGGTGTTGCTGTCTGCAGTGCTGATGCACGGGCATTGCTTTCCATAGCACCCATGGTGCATGGGCACCGCTCTCTGTAGCACCCTTAGCACACAGGCATTGCTCTCTGCAGCACCCCGAGTGCACGGGCATCGCTGTCTTCAGCACCCATGCATGAGCACTTCCCACTGTAGCATCCATTACCATGGCCTTTGCAGGCAGGGTGCCATATACCGTGTCCCCGTGGGTCCCCCCATCCCATCTGAAGCCGTTGTCCCCATCATTCATGCAGCAGCTCTCATTTTTAGGCTCCCCGGCTCATTGTATGGGGATTGCAAAGCGTTTTGCTCCTTCGAGCAGGTTATCAGGCCGGTCTCTGCCTGGCTAATGGCCCTGGGCTCCAAAACCCGCGGTCATGGCAAGAGGAGGCCGATGCATTACAGATGTTGGTGGCGCCGCTCGGAGCCGCCTGATCAATGGTGACAAAGCACAGTCCCCGCAAGGACTTCCTCTGCCACTGCCCATTAGGAGAAATGAGACGTTACAGCCCCGACCGGCGTCTCCCACGGTGGCTCCAAGCGGGAAATGTTGCTGGTGACAGTGATAAAGTCACTGCTTGCAGCAGTATTGGCTCCAGGGGAGGGGGAAGACGTGCTGGAGGAGCCAAGCGAAGGGCACCCGACATGCTGATGCTGTTAGGAGCCCTTCCTACACTGTACGATGCTGCTGGGAAAGCCCAGAGCCTCGGCAAATGTGAGGATGGAGGCACCGGGGAGCTGCTTTTAACCTCTCGCTCCTGGAAAGCATCTCCCAGAAATTTGCAGCCCCCTCCAAATTTTCAAGCCAACCCGATTCACGGTGGGTTGTGCCTCTTGATTTATAAACCTGCTCCCCTTTAGGGAAAAATCTTGAGTTTTACAGCTGCAGAGAAATTCTCTAAAATCTGAGCAAAGCCGCTGATGGAGAGATCTTGGGCCAGTAACTGCGCGAGGTCTGATTCGTGCCATTCATCTACACGCCAGCTGGGTCGTCTCCGTGCCTCGGAGATGATAATTTAAATGTCAGTATGGGGAACTCTCTTAATTCCTCATGCTCAGGCGGGGAGAGAAGGTCAGAAGCATCAGCACAGTTTATTGAGCTCTCTATTACTGTTGGGCAAGGGCTCTGGGGAGGCAGCAGGCAGCCCGGGCTGCACCTCCTAAAATTCCATGATCCTCTTTAATTCGATCATGCACGTGGTTTAACGATGCAGGAGAGGGCGTACTGGCATGGGTGGTGCCCTTTGGGGATTGGAGATGGGTTGTGGCACTCATTCTGGGATCAAAACATCTGGGTTTGGGCAAATCAGTCAATTACTCTGTAGTTTTGGAAGCAAAATTTGATGCCGGCAGCGTTTTGGGTCACTGAGCAAGGTAGGACCGAGTGGTTCAGCAAGCTCAGGGCAGGAGGAGGGATTTCAGCTGAGCTCAGTGCAGATGCTTGAGGTAGCTGGGGAAGGAGGCAGGAAAAAAAAGTTAAAAAAGGGCTTTTCCAGCATGATTCATTTCTCCCAGCAACTGTGACATGGGATGCTGCAGACCCTAGTGTTACCCCCGAGTGTGTAAAGCAATGTAGTCACCCCTTGCAGCTTCTTTGGGGTATTTTCCCTCTTGCCATAGCAAGTGCTTGTTGCATTTTCTTGGGCAAAGTTCAAAGTTCAGCCCCAGGACGAGGATGGTTGAAGGAGTCTGGCCCAGAGCCCAGTGGTGCCCCGTTCCCCAGGGTGCTACAGAGACCCCCGATCTTTTCATAACCAACTTTGTCCTCCAGAATCCTTCCCCCTCACCCCCTTGGTCCCCCATCCATCACTCCTGGATGCTTACTTAACCCACCGAGCATCCCGGCGAGAGGCTCCAGCAATATTAATGGTGCCAGCATATTTTGGGGACAGCAAGCTGCCGGGTCACTGGTGAGGTACAAGTGAAGAGGGAAGAGGCAGGAGGGGGCCGCCTCTGCCACAGCGGGAAGGAGCAGGAGGTTAATGTCTCCCCGCACAGTGGCAATCGCCGGGTTTTTGTCAGGAATAAGATTTTTACTGGGGTTCATAAATAATGCAGCAGGCAGCCTCAGGCTGCCTGAGCTTGGCTCCGGTACCTTAAATGTGCCTTTCCCTCTCCCTGCACCCTGTTTTCTCAGTGTGGGCACATAATTTGGGGTCGTTGCCATCGGTTGCTGCCAGATTATCATCCTTTTTCTCCCCAGCAAGAAACGTTGGATTTGGCCATTCCCACACCCCTGTGGGTTCAGCAACAACTTTCTACGTAGCTCCTCTCCAAAAAAATTGACCCCAGGGCACAGATAAAAAGCCAAAAGTAGGTCTAATCCCTGGAGGGAGACTATTTTCTATGTGCTTTTCATAGGAGCCTATTAACTGCCTGTAATCCCCCGAGGATGCGACCGGGCTGTGGCATCTTCCCTTGGCCGTGCATCCTTGGGGAGGGAGGGGGGTGATGCAAGAGGTCCCAGGGGACAAACAGCAGCGTGGGTGATGCTTTGAGCTGCATATTTCCCATCCTTGAATCTAGTTTGATGTTTTCCGGCTTTGCCCTTATCTGTCCAGACGTGCTAGAGATCTCCCGTGGCTGCAAACCTTTGGTCCATGGGCATCAGCTCCACCGCTCCCCATCCCCTGAGCATCCCTCCTTGCAGCGACTGCATCCCCAAAATAATCCCTAGAAAACCCTGAAAGATGATACACAAAGAGCTTCTCGATCCGGGAGCAGCTCCAAGGTTTCTCCCCAAAGCCCCCTCCAGGGCATAAATAAAAGTTGGGAAAAATCAGATGCGTCCTTGAAAACTTCCCCTCATTCCCATGGCCGCAGATTTACGGCTCCGATAATTCTTCTTGCAGTTCTTTATCCCGTGTCCGTGCCAGCGTGTATTTTCTTTGCAATAAAAGCCTCAGCCACAGAGAATAAATTTGAAGAAGTGCTTTTAGTGAGCATTTTTCCCCCTCTCTTTCTTTTTGCCATTAAAAAAAAAAAGAGGGAAAAGAAAATTTGGAGTGTAAGTTGTTTTGCCCAAGCAGGGAGAGAAGTGCAGGGTGCGGGAAGTGGGGTTTGCTCTCAAGAGAGGCTGGTTTTGGGGGGTTAATCCCCTTTTCCTGTGCCTTGCCTTTTAAAAAACGACTATTCTAACCCTCTGATGGATTGATCTGAGCTCTTCTAGCCCCAAAATGCCCATTTCCCATCTGCATTGCTTTCCCTCTGCATTTTCCTCCTTAATTTTGTTCTAAACCTTGCTCCTTGTAAGAGGGGGAGATAAATCTGAAGGCACTGGGGGACACAAGGAAGAAATGAATCCTCCCAGGTCCTAAAAAGAGCCTTTTTCCACTTAAAAATTACAACCCCAGCGAGTGGCTGGAGATGGGAGTTTGCAACGCAATAACTGGACAGAAACATGTGGGTTTTGCTTTTAATCTCAGCAGGCTCATAATAAATAAATAATATTGATTGTCTTAATTAAAATAGGCTTTTTTTAATAACAAAAGTATAAAAGTGGATGCAAAGCCACTCGAGCACATGCAAAAGTGACTGTGGGTGCCTCATGTGTGTTTGGGTTTTTGCAGGTCACTGATGGCGGCACCATCAAGCAGAAGATCTTCACTTTTGATGCCATGTTCTCCACCAATTTCTCACACATGGAGAATTACAGGAAGAGGGAGGATCTGGTCTACCAGTCCACCGTGCGGTAAGTCACCCTGGTATTGCCTCCTTTGACATTTTGACTTTTAATGCCTTTTTTTAGGAGGTTTTTTTTCCCATTTTGGGACAGTTGAGGGCATTGTGGTGATCCTTGGTGTGTCCTGTTTGGCTGTTGGTTGGGGATTCATTGCACTGCAAAGAAATAAATTGCAAATAATTAGATATAATGCGCCGTCACCAAATATCCAAGGTCTGTCCTCATTGTCCTGCTTGTGCCTAGGGACAAGCTGACATAGATTTCCAAGGGTGAAAATGGGCAGAGAAAAACAAGGCTTGGGGGGAAAAATAGTATTTTGTATTTATATATAAAACAGGCAGCGTGGAAGCTTGTCTTTGCTTTTCTTCCAAGTGCGAAATCACTTGCCGAAGTGTCAGCTTTATTACTAATTACACACTTGCTTTATTGCAGTGTTATAAAACCAAAACTGGAGCCTGAAAAAAATGTCAGGGGGAGACTTAATTCAAGGCAAAAAAGGCTGGGGTGATGTATTTATTTTTCACTATTTTTTTTTATTTTGTTTCCTTTTTAAATTAGGATTTGCTAGTCGGATTTCAAAGCTTGTTTTTCCCAGCATGGGATATTAAAAATTCTGTGTACGGTGGGGAAAATACAGTTGTTTTCTCAGGGTATTGTGCTGCTTTGCACCTGCAAATGTCCGTGTATGGGTTGAAAAGGGCTCAGCATGGCTCGTTCCATTAGATGAGTATGTGTGCAAGCATGAAATCCTTCCTAATTCTTTGGAATTTGAATTTTTGGGGCTCTTTTTGCTGGTTTTTTTGGCTACAGTCAGAGCTATGTTTTGTTATAAGCACGAACAAGTGTGTTAGATGGCTACATGGCAATAAATGTGAACACAGAGTGGAGTAAAGAACCAGGAAAGCAGGGCTGGAGAGGAGACGGTTGGGGTTGCTCAGGAGATGCTCAGTGGATGCTCAAGAGTTGCTCAGGGGATGCTCAAGCAATGATTAGAGGCTGCTTAGGGGTATGCTCAAGAAATGCTCAGGGATTGCTCAGAAGATGCTCAGGAGATCTTCAGGCCATGCTCAGGGGTTGCTCAGGAGGATGCACAGATGTTTTTCTGGAAGGTCGGGGAATGCTCAGGAGTTACTTGGAGCGCTCAGGGTTTGCTCAGGAGTGTCAGGAGTTGCTCAGGAGATGCGCAAATGATACTCAGGAAGGTGAGGAGGTGCTCAGGTGTTGCTCAGGAGATACTTGGGAGATGTTCAGGATGCTCAGGAGGGTCAGAGGATGCTCAAGGCTTCCTCGGGGAATGCTCAGGAGTATCAGGGGTTGCTCAGGAGGATGCACAGATGATGCTCAGGAAGGTCGAGAGATGCCCAGGATGCTCAGGGGTTGCTCAGGGGGATGCATGGGGCGTACTCAGGGGTTGCTCAGGCAATGATCAGAGGCTGCTCAGGAGGCTGCTGAAGAGATGTTTGGGGGTTGCTTGGTGGATGCTCAGGAGGGTCAGGGGATGGTCAGGGGATGTTCAGAAAGTGCTCAGAAGATGCTCAGGCAATGATCAGAGGGTGCTCAGGGGAATGTTCCAGAGATACTCAGGGGCTGCTCCACTCCTTGAGTTTTGTTTCCCCATGTAGCACAGGCTCTGCGCAGCAGCTCGCTCGGATGTTGTACAAATTTCTGACACGACTAATTATTGTTTAGAGAACATTTTGGCGGCGTCACAAAGGGATTACACATTCCCTAACTCAACAACCTTGCTTTCCTGCCATAAACCCAGCGGTTCTGCTCGGCACTGGATTTAGCCATTGCACTCCTCTGGCAGGGAAAGTCAGGGAATTAAAACAGAATAAAACATCCCCCGTGCACGGAGCGAGACATCCCAACCAGGAGCATCCCTTGAGCAAGGGACAAGGACATTGCACCATCCTGGTGAGGCAAAGCAGCTGCTTTTTTTGGCTCAAAACCCTCCGTTTTTCTCCCTTTCACCGCGTATTGTAGAACTAATAGAATTTGCAAGCAGAAAATTTCGCCGCCCTAGGACCAAGCACTTAAAAGCTTCGGTAATCGTCAGCGCGGTGCCGGCAAATCATCCGTGGAGCCGGGGATGTTTGTGGTAAAAGTCTTTTCACGCAGTTGTTTTCAGAGGAAAACAGCAACTTGCCTGAGGAGAAAGGAGATGTTTCTTGGAGGGTATGAAAAGAGCTTGTTTTCTGAATTCTTGGCTTGATGTCTATTTTTTTGGGGAGGGTGAGGGGGTCCTGCTTTATTTCAGGCTCTGGGGAAGGGGAGCAATGTTGGGAAGGGTTTGGTGATGGGTCAATCGCATCCCGACCATTTCCACTCAGCTTTTCTCTCCCTTTCATTTTACCCTTCTGTATTTTCAGCTTTTTTTTTCTTTCAAAAAATAGAAATCTTTTTAATGGCACGGTCACGTCGGTGCCGTCCCACGGAGCGTTATCCCGGGCGACGTGGCTCTTATCTGCACAGCGCAGAGGGCTGACGGAGCTGCCTCTTTTCATACCGGCTTTGAACGCAGCCCGCTCAGATGTGAAGAGCGAAGCCGGGAGACATCCAACCCTGGATTTTTTTTCCCTTCCTCTGATTAAAAACCTATCCTCGTCAAGGAAGGCACTGCTTTATGAATATCTATATCATTTTTTCTTTATTTCCAGCATGCTTAGAGGACGCAGAGGACAAGATGGGCAGCGTTACGGCTTTGCAGGGCTGGGGGTCCCCCCTCTCCGGTCCCTACCGATCGCAAAAGCTTCAAACTGGCCCAATTAAGGACTATTTTACACCCCAAATCCGTGCGCAAACCCAAAGGGCTTGTCCCTCGCGGCAGCCGTCGGGATGGAGAGGGTCTCCAGCTT